TTTGTTGTTGTTGGTTGTTGTTGGTTGTTGGTTGTTGGTTGTTGGTTGTTGTTGTTGTTGTAGTTGCTGTCGTTGTAGTAGTAGTAGTAGTTGTTGTTGTTGTTATTTTTGTTGTTGTTGTTATTTTTGTTGTTGTTGTTGGTTGTTGTTGGTTGTTGTTGGTTGTTGGTTTGGTTGTTGGTTTGGTTGTTGGTTTGGTTGTTGGTTTGGTTGTTGGTTTGGTTGTTGGTTTGGTTGTTGGTGTGGTTGTTGGTTTGGATGTTGGTTTGGTTGTTGGTTTGGTTGTTGTTTTGGTTGTTGGTTTGGTTGTTGGTTTGGTTGTTTGTTTGTTTGTTTGTTTGTTTGTTTTGTTTGTTTGTTTGTTTGTTTGTTTGTTTGTTTGTTTGTTTGTTGTTGTTTCTTGTTGTTTGTTGTTGCTTCTTGTTGTTTGTCGTTGTTTGATGTTGTTTGTTGTCGGTTGTTGTTGTTTGTTGGTTGTTGTTGTTTGTTGTTGTGTGCTGTTTGTTGTTGTTTATTGTTGGCTTTTTTGTTGGTTTCTTTGTTGGTGGTTTTTGTTGGTTATGTTTGTTGGTTGTTTTTGTTGCATGTTTTTGTTGGTTGTTTTCGTTGGTTGCGTTTGTTGGTTCTTTTTGTTGGTTGCGTTTGTTGGTTGTTTTTGTTTTTGTTGTTGTTTGTTCGTGTTGGTTGTTGTTGGGTGTTGGTTGTTGGTTTGTTGTTGGATGTTGTTGTTGTTTGTTGGTTGTTGTTGGTGGTTGTTGGTTGTTGTTGGTTGTTGCTGGTTGTTGGAGGTTAGAGGTGGTTGTGGTTGGTTGTGGTTGTTGCGGTTGCGGTTGTTGCGGTTGTGGTTGTTGTTGTTGCGGTTGTTTTTGTTGTTGTTGTTGGTGTTGTTGTTGGTGTTGTTTGTTGGTGTTGTTGTTGGTGTTGGTGTTGGTGTTGCTTGTTGGTGTTGTTTGTTTGTTGGTGTTGTTTGTTTGTTGGTGTCGTTTGTTGGTGTTTTTTGTTTGCTGGTGTTGTTTGTTTGTCGGTGTTGTTTGTTTGTTTGTGTGGTTGTCGGTTGGTTGTTGGTTGTTGGTTGTCGGTTGTTGGTGATGTTGTTGTTGTTTGTTTGTTTGTTGTTGTTGTTTTTTGTTGTGTCTTATGTCGTTGTCGTTGTTGTTGTTGTCGTTGTCCTTGTCCTTGTCCCTTTCCTTGTCCTTGTCCTTGTCCTTGTCGTTGTCGTTGTCTTTGTTGTTGTCGTTGTCGTTGTCGTTGTGGTGGTGGTGGTTGTGGTTGTGGTTTGGTTGCGGTTGTGGTTGTGGTTGTTGTTCTTGTTGTTGTTCTTGTTGTTGTTCTTGTTGTTGTTCTTGTTGTTGTTCTTGTTGTTGTTCTTGTTGTTGTTCTTGTTGTTGTCTTGTTGTTGTTCTTGTTGTTCTTCTTGTTGTTCTTCTTGTTGTTCTTCTTGTTGCTGTTATTGTTGTTGTTCTTGTTGTTGTTCTTGTTGTTGTTCTTGTTGTTGTTCTTCTTGTTGTTCTTCTTGTTGTTCTTGTTGTTGTTCTTGTTGTTGTTCTTGTTGTTCTTCTTGTTGTTCTTCTTGTTGTTCTTCTTGTTGTTCTTGTTGTTCTTCTTGTTGCTGTTCTTGTTGTTGTTCTTGTTGTTGTTCTTGTTGTTGTTCTTGTTGTTGTTCTTCTTGTTGTTCTTCTTGTTGTTCTTCTTGTTGTTCTTCTTGTTGTTCTTCTTGTTCTTCTTGTTCTTCTTGTTCTTGTTGTTTGTCGTTGTTTGATGTTGTTTGTTGTTGGTTGTTGTTATTTGTTGTTGGTTGTTGTTGTTGTTGTTGTTGATGTTGTTGTTTGTTGTTGGTTGTTGTTTGCTGTTGTTTGTTGTGGTTGTTGTTCTTGTTCTTGTTTGTGTTGTTGTTGTTGTTATTGTTGTTGTTGTTGTTGTTGTTGTTGTTGCTGCTGTTGTTG